AATATTTCTACTTGTCATTGGATTTTTTCTTTTCATTGGGGTCTGCACTGTGCTTGAAGTAGATGGTACGGATTCTAGATTTTCTTCTTCCTTCAAATGTTCCATGTTATCTGTCGACAATAGACAAGCATGATTCACGTTTTTCTCTCCTTTAAATATATCCTCCGTCTCTTGCTGATATTCAAAATATTTTGTTCTATTTTGGTGTCATATTGAAGTCTTTTCGACACTAAAAGTAGTTTCGAAAAGAAGCTCTTTGTGACACTCCTTTTTTACTTATCGAAGGTTGGTAACACTGGCTGACTGATGGCCATCGAACTGTCATTCGCGATTTTATAATAGAAGATTTCTATATTTGGCAAGTAGTGTTACCAACCTAAACATATGAAATCAGGAAATATGAGAATAAAATGTTCAAGAAAAATTTGTTTTTCCTAATTAAACAATACCAAAATAGAAAAAATAGTATAAAATATTCGTTTCATAAGACATTTTATCGTATTCGCCCTTTAGAAAACTCGCCTCCGGCTCGTGCGATAAAATGACGTCTTATGAAACTTGTATTTTAATGTACTATTTTCTATTTTGGTGTCATATCGAAGTCTTTTCAACACTAAAAGTAGTTTCGAAAAGAAGCTCTTTGTGACACTCCTTTTTTACTTATCGGAGGTTGGTAACACTGGCTGACTGATGGCATCGAACTGTCATTCGCGATTTTATAATAGAAGATTTCTATATTTGGCATGTAGTGTTACGAACCTAAATATATGAAATCGAAATATGAGAATAAAGGCGATTTTCAGCCTGGAATGATTATTATTTGGTTATAACCAATGCATTTCCGCCGTCGCGGTTTTAACCAAAGTAGGGGAAGTTGTGACGTCACATATCAGCTGATTTGCTTTTGGTATTTACCACTTATAACCGATTATAACCCAGCTTTGGACTTGGGTTAGTCTTTTGGTTATAGCTTTTTGATGTTATTGTTATTATTTTGGGAATTGATATCGGTGTTTTGTGATTTTGCAGTTGTGTTGTGGCCTGGCACAATGGGAGAAGTATACACTCACTTACTCACTGCAACTCACCATGTTTAGATCAACGTTTAGATCATCCCCAAAGAAAATCCGTTCAATAAACGAGACTAACGAGAGATTCCGCTCCATTTTAGCTATACCTAAACAACAAACCATTGTTGAAACGAAAAAACAAATAAGAATAATAAACATAACTCTACACTTCTATAACCAAATCGTTTCAGCGGTCAGTTCCTTGGGTTATGATTCTTGAGTGGTAGGGGCTATGACGTCACACGTGGCTGTCAAAGTTGTCAACCAAAAGAATAACCACGGTATTTACCGATAAATAATCATTCCAGGCTGAAAATCGCCTAATAATTTCCAAGAAAAATTTGTTTTTTTTAATTAAACAATACCAAAATAGAAAAAATAGTATAAAATATTCGTTTCATAAGACATTTTATCGCACTCGCCCTTTAGAAAACCCGCCTCCGGCTCGTTTTCTAATATAGGGCTCGTGCGATAAAATGACGTCTTATGAAACTTGTATTTTAATGTACTATTTGCCTCTTCCCGTTTTCTTCTGGTTATCGAGAAACTTTTTGTACGCCCGTTCAATAACTCTCCACCTATTTTCAACATGCCCTATATTTCATTCTACCATATTCTTGAAAAGCACAATGCTCCGATTCCAAAAATATATAGTTTTTCTATATTTGATTGAACAGTCTCTAATATATTCGGCTCCAAAAATTGTAAAAATACTATCCTACTACTGATTTTGTGAACCATTCTACCTATACAGGTGAAAGCTGCAGGTAAAATTTGAGGTAGGTAGGTTTCTCTGATAGTATTTTTAAAATTTTTAGAACCAAATATGTTAGAGACGGCTATTCACGAATATGTTGTTCAAGTACGATACTAACCTGACTCACTCAAATGTGAGTTATTCTCATTAGTTTGAAAAGTACACGTTTCAGGTGAGTGTCTTATTTGAACAGTTCAACAGTATATTGGTGAGTAAATGGCTGCGGTCCAACCCTAAGCTCCGCAACAATCCACTTATTTGTACTTGAACAATAACTTATAATATACAGTCAAAATTTGTAAAATGATTGACTTTTTGTCGATTTGCCGTTCAACAGGAATTAGTAATGTTACTTTATCAAACTAGTGACATAATTTTATTCAAGTACAACTGAGTGAATTGCTGCGGAACTTATGGGTGGACCTCTGCGGGACGAGCGCAGCGAGTTCCGCAGCCATCTATTCATCAATATGTGGTTTAATTACGATACTAACCTGACTCACTCAAATGTGAGTTATTCTCATTAGTTTAAAAACTACAAATTATAGGTGAATGTCTTACTTGAACAGTTCACCAGTATATTGGTGAGTAGATGGCTGCGTTCGTCCCGCAGAGGTCCACCCATAAGTTCCGCAACAATCCACTTATTTGTACTTGAACAATAACTTATTATATAAAGTCAGAATTTGTAAGATTATCCACTTTTTGTCAATTTGCCTTTGAAAAGGAATAAGTAATTTTACTTTACCAAACTTGTAATATATTGTGACAAGTTATTTAAATACAAACGAGTGGATTGTAGCGGAACTTATGGGTGGACCTAGCCATCTATTCACCAATATGTTGTTCAAGTAAAATATTAACCTGATTCACTCAGTTATGAATTTTTCTCATTGGTTCAAAAATTACACGTTTCAGATCAGTGTCTTATTTGAACAGTTCAACAGTATATTGGTGAGTAGATGGCTGCGGGACGAGCGTAGCGAGGTCCACCCATAACTTCCGCAATAATTCACTTATTTGTACTTGTATGTACAGGGTTATTGGTTATAAATGTCACCCCCTCTATCTTTTTTATTTGACATTTTAGAAAAAAGTTATGGTTGAATTTAAATTTTTTGAAAAACTCAATTTTGCATATACAGGGTGTTCCAAAAAAGCTGGTCGTGCTCCAACTTTCTTATTTTAAATTGTATATTATTCAATATTCGGATTCTACATCAAATTCTGAGCAGATTTTATGTGATATACCCTATACCTAAGTTCAACTGTTTTGGAAATATTGACAGTTGAAAATTGACTTTTTTGTAAATTTGACAGGCTGTAAAACCTAAACGGTTAAATTTTGAGCAAAACCAATCTTAAATTTTTTTCTAAGATTTTCACAAGTTATCATTTGACACCAACTTTGAAATTAATCGAGGATTAAATTTAATTTGAATTTTCAATCATGGATCAAATTCAAAGTTGATGTCAAATATTGGTGTCAACTGATAGTTTAAAAATATCCAAGATAAAAATGTAAAATCGGTTTTGCTCTAAAATTAACCGTTTAAGATTTACAGCCTGTCAAAGTTGCAAAAAAGTCAATTTTCAACTGTCAATATTTCCAAAACAGTTGAACTTAGGTATAGGGTATGCCACATGAAATCTGCTCAGAATTTTACGTAGAATCTGAATATCCAATAATATACAGCGTATTCCATTGGAAATAAGAAATTTGGAGCACGACCAGCTTTTCTGAAACACCCTGTATATGCAAAAGTGAGTTTTTCAAAAAATTTAATTTCAACCATAAAACTTTTATCTGAGACACTTTTTTCTAAAATGTCAAATAAAAAAGATAGAGGGGGGTGACATCTATAACCAATAACCCTGTACCTTCTTACTAAAACGATGAATTTTCAAATTTTTTTTTGTTGAGATTTTGTGTCATAATGATCCATTGGGATCCCTTAAAATCTATGCACTAAATTATTCTGAGATTTGGAGCCAGATTCTATGAAAAATGGCACTCAGAAAAATTGAAATATTGATAAATCACCCCAAATTGCTTCACACGATTTTATTTCTGGAACTATAAGTCTAAATGAGCTGAAATTTTCAGGGATTGTAGTCCTTTACTGGTATAAGATTCGCTGGAAATTTCAACTTTCTATCTTTAATAGAAGAAAAATTATGACCTTTCAAAGTTTTCCAAAATCTAAATCATAAAGAAGTTACCTCATCAGTACTAATAAGTGAAAAACTGATAAATTGCCTTAAAAGATTTTAGTTTAAAAGTTGTTTGGAATTATACACTCATGAATTTTGAATCTTAGAAATGAATTTTCATTTAAAAATATTGAAATTTTTTCCATAAATTGTTTGTACGCAGACTTTAGATCCGCAATATCCGATAGTTTATTAATGCTGATTTATGTTGAAAATTTGCTTATAGCACAATAATTAACATAAAAAATTATCAAGATATTTTTTCTAGGAATTTCAGCGCATCCTTGTTTGTTAATTAGAGAAATAACACTATAAATTTACAGAAAATTTTCCGCCTCAAAACAAATGTAGGTACCTACCTGATTCTACTCATTGTTAAAACTTGAATACACAGTAATACATTGTTACAATGCTTATGTTGTTACAATGCTAAGACTTGATGGGCATTTTCATGTATTAAATTTTCTTGAAATTTTACAGATTTTGTTTAAATTTGCATAGTTACTTATGCTTGTCAATATTATTGATTTTTTATAATTATTATCAGATGTAATGCTAAGGAGGATTCATGATGCTAGGATAAGATTGATTTCCTTCTATAGTTTCCAAGCCATAATTGTTGCCAAATTTACCTTTTTCCTAAGTTGAAGAAATTCTACACAATCGGTCAACATCCTGTGATAAAATGATGTTGATCTACTGCTCAAAATCGCTAGTCTTCTACAATAGATAAGTCCGAAAGCTTAAATGCGAATAAATTATTCCCAGCCTCAACTCGAGAACCTAATTCACCTAACATAAATAAATAAACGCACATACACGGTTCTTTTGCAATAGATGTTGGCAAACATTAATTTTTTAGGTCAATTGCAGCTTCGTGACCCATGTTTTAAGTACATCTTCATTAGCATGTATTATGTAAAACGCATAATTGCTAATTAGATTTTTTTTTTTTACAGATTCGTATGGTTAATATGGATCGTCCCGCTACTTACCTTGGCCCAACTACCCCACAAACAGCAAAATTTCAATATAAACACTTATACGAAAAGCTTACCAGAAGATATTAAATTGATTGTATCGAAAGCTTTGCGACTGGAGCGGAACCATTTGGTACCGGAATCATGCGTCCAGGAGGACAGTGTCACTTGTCCTCCAAACAAATACAGGACGCCGACTGGAGAGTGTAATAATGTGAGACATTGGAGATGGGGTAATAGGGGTGCACCGTTTCTAAGACTTTTGCCTCCTAGATATGCTGATGGTAATTTTTAATTATACTACTTCAAAGTCAATTATTACAAAATACTTTTTCAAATATATTCGGATAACGTTTTACATTAATTTAAATATTTGATCGATAAGGTTTTCAGAAATTTAACTTATTTTAACATTAACCAATTAGGTAATTCTAGTACTAATTGGACAGGGTACTGGATTACAATATACAAATTTTATGTCCATTGCATATTTTTTTCACATATTCGTACAGGAATTTTCGTAGATCCGGGTAGAAACAGACAAATTGATGGGTTTTTCAATAAAATGAGACTCTCGTAAAATAGTCATCAGGTTTATTGTATATGAAACCGAAATCACATGATTGCCTAATTTGCACATTATTTAAATTTAATATCAATTTACATAAATAGGTGTTTTTTAAAATTTATATAAGTAAGGGTCAACGAAAAACTTATTGGATATCTCATGGTTTCGTTGAATCATGATATAAAATAAACTAGTAAAGTAGTTTTGTGTATGATGGTTCATCATTCTTGAGATAAAATGATTAATACCGAGCATCAAGAATTCGGATTACTAATATACATAATTGAGATTTTTTTCTGAAAACATCAATAATTTGCGACCTTCAGATTCCTAAGAAGGTCGCCTTATAAAAAAAAAATTTTGGGGAAACAATTCCACACGCCACTGTACGATGTCGTAAGACCACAAATACTTGTTCAAGAGAATCACTTTCTCTTCAGTGTTAAATGGTAATTAAAGAAGAATTAAGAGCCGGTTACGGACCGGCACTTAAGCAGGTGTAATAAAGATCAATATTTATTTTAGGAATATCCGCCCCAAAAGAATCCGTCTCGGACAGCCCTTTGCGCAGCCCTTTGGACATCTCGGTGTCCCTGCAAAACATCGCTACGCATGCGCACGAGTCTGTCACGGCCCTTTTGGGTGCCTGGAGTGAACTGTTGTTGCACGACCTCGCCAGCACCGGAAATTTGAAGAGTCAAAGTTGCTGTGATGATGGAAAGAAGAATCATGGAGAGTGCTACGGGAAATTGCCGAATGGAGAGTGCAGGGAATATATGAGGACATTGCCTGCAGTGGAAATGGATAATTGTGATTTTAGTAAGGATTTTCTTTATAATACTTGTTAAAACGAGTATGATTTAGCTCTCAGAATATCAGAATTCTATGATCTTTGACTAAATAGATCTGGTGATAACTGGATCCAGGACGTTTCCAGTTTTACATAGGAAGAAGATATTTCGTTTTTTGATGTCTGTTAGATCTTTTTTTTGGAGAAACTTCCAACAGCAATCAGATCTGAGATGACATCAAAGACATTATTATAATAGATCTAGTGATAACTCAGATATCTTCCAGGATGTTTCCAGTTAAATAGACAGGAGGCTTCTTTTAACGTTTTGGTCGGTTCAAGGAATAGTCAGTCATATTTTCTACAACTTCATCGTCTAGATTCCCTAATGGTGTTACAGGTATCCCATCAAGACTTCCAGCATCAGAATCGTTGTAATTCATTTGTTGAATGGGATCTGGTTATTTACATTGGTCGTTGTTTTGATCATTAGGTTCGTTTTTATATGTTCTACATTCTACATTCATATCTTCATTCGACGTTTCTTGATGCAGAGTAGAATCTCCTCTTGGCGCAAGGTGGCGTGTTGATACAGTTGTTTCTCTACCATTAGCTAATCTAATATAAGCATAATCAGAGTTAGCTTCAAGGAGTTGGACTTCTTCCAGGATCGGTTCATACTTGCTTTGTCTTACATACTTCTTTAGGAAGACTGGCCAAGGAATACTCAACCAGGTTGAAATTGAAGAACCATTTATAGATGTTCGAGGATGACAGAACATTCTTTCATGCGGTGAACAATTTGTTGCTGTACATAACAAAGACCTTATTGAATGTAAAGAGTCGACCAGTACCTGCTGCCAATGTCTTATATCCATGTCTCTTGATTTTAGAGCTAACTGAATGGTTTTCCATATATAACCATGATACCGTTCACACTGCCCGTTTCCTTGCGGGTTATAAGGAGTAGTGTTTTCAGTTCTTCATGATGTCCCTCTATCACTATGCAGGTACGATGATGTCCCAAAAACAGAAAAAAGTTGAGTTTCTGTCAGGACAAGCAAGCCCAAATGGGAATATAGAAAATTCATCCACAATATGTCAAAATGTAGCGGTTTTCGTTCTCAGATGGCAATGAACCTTTAAAATCTTCATTTATTCTTTCGAAAGGGGCAGTAGCTTTTATGATGGTCCCTTGATTTCTGGTCAGTTACGAGCTTAAAGTAACGTCCGATTAGAAAATGTCTCCATTTACCAAGTGCTGTCACTATAGCATAGGCTTCTTTTTCTACGAAAGAATGTCGCTGTTCTGATTTCGTCAATGTTCTAGAGAAAACCGTCACTGGTTTTCCAGACTGTATAAGTTGAGCAGCAATAGCATATTCCGATGCGTCAGTTTCAACAGTAAAAGTGGCTTTATCGTCAATGGAAATAACAACAGCGTTTTGTATATCAGTTTTCAACTTCTTCACAAGCAGACATTGGAAACTTTTTAACTCGAATCAGTGGATGTATTTTCTCAGAAAACTTATGAATGAATTTGGAATAATGGGCAAACTTGCCTTGAACTCTCCTGAGCGAAGCAGTATTAGTAGGTTGTGGCAACTGAATCAGTGGTTTAAGTCTGTCTATATCTGGTTTGATTTATTTTCGTTCTATTGTATGGCCTAGTATATTAATTTTAGTCATGCCAAAGTTGCATTTCTCTTTGTTAAGTGTCAGATTATATTTCTTAACAACTTCTAAAAATACTTTAGGATTTGTATCATGATTCATATTTCTCTGGAAACAAGCAATGCCATTAGTCACTCCAAAAGGAATTCGAGTGAATTAGTATAGATTTCCACATGCTTCAAAGGCTGTGTATATACGTTCTAGAATTGGTATCTGATATATGATATCTTATTGTATCAATCAGAGTATTTGTTTCTTTTGTCCATTATTTTACTTATTTCACAAGAATGACATCGTTTGTCTCCAATTCGAAAGTAAAATGCGTGACTCTGTTATAACATTAGACAAATTACCTCATAAAAACAAGTTAACCAATTTAAAAAAAAAAATCATATTCATATAAAACACTTTCACTCTAGGTTAAGGTGAAAATAAAATGTTGCATAAGATTTATATATCTACATACCGGTTTTTGATAAATAATATCTCTTACTAGATAAACCAAACGTGTTGTTTTTAATTGTCTCATACACCCTGTATAAACATTATTGGCCGTTCAACGAAGCGTTAGTTTTCTTCAACATAATTATACATAAAAGTTCAATGTTAATGGCATCACTTAACCTAAACAGAATGTTTTAATAGCAGCAATTATTCATTCCAGAATACCGAAACCAAATTAATTTGGCCTCATCTTTCCTGGACGGATCAGCAGTTTACGGAAGCAACTACGCCAGCATAGAAAAACTCAGAAATTACGACAACGGCTTGGTAAACGTCTCAGCGTGTTCTTCTTGCCAGTCCAACGTTCTTTATTCCGCAATTTTAAAAGAACACAATCGGATTGCTATCAATTTGGCAAATTTGAACCGACACTGGACCGACGATGTATTGTTCTACGAAAGCAAAAGGATTGTTAGTGCAGAACTTCAACATATAACTTACAATGAATTCTTACCCACTTTACTGGGACAACAATCGATTGTCAATTCGGATTTGGAACTTCAAACTCATGGAAGATATGCTAAGTATTCGAGTTCTAGAAAAGCTGGAGTTTACAATGAGGTTGCTCTAGGAGCTTTGCCAGCTTTATTATCCATGCTTCCAAGAGAATTGGTAAGTAATTCATAAATTTGATAAAGTGTCTTGAGTTGGAATTTCTGTGGCTAGCATCTTCAGAGGTGCTTCCATGTCCGATTCTGGTAGTAGACTGACGCGACCTCAAGTTGTATATATGTGTGAGTGTTTGTGGTGAGGCAGCACGTGGCTAATCTGAACTTTCGCTGTACTCAATGGGATCTTTCTTGCGTTTTTGGGGATCGGGTTCCAAATTTAGCTAAGTTTTAGTGTTTCTTCTTTCCTGTTGGAGTTGGATTCTGGTATCCGTACGTCGGTGTAAGAAGCTTGATATCACCAAATAGTATTTCGTGATTCCCTTTACTAAGCGCATGGTCCACTACTGCCGATTTTTCTGATTGTCCTAGTCTGCAGTTTCGTTTGTACTCCACGTTTTGTCGTGTGTCCGCTTTGGGTCGCATGGCCCTGTCGATTTCAGATGCGTTGTATCCATTCGATAAAAAGGTCGACTTGAGGTGATCCAGTTCTTGCTCGAGATGTTGTTGCTCTCAGATGTTCCGAGAACGTGCTGTTAACGTTGCTATAATAGGTTTTGGAGCCGAATATATGAGAAACTGTTCAATCAAATATAGACAAACGACAAACTATATATTTTTGGAATCGGGGCATTGTGCTCTTCAAGAATATAAAATGAAATATAGGGCTTCCCATTTGAAAAAAACTGGAAGCAAGCAAAATTTCACATTTCTGACATTCAAAATTTGTTTCTGACCATGGTTTCTAAAAATTCAGCCAAAACTGTACAACTTTTGTATTTACACCTTTTTTCTACCTGTAAAGGTAGAGGAGGTAGTTGGAGTGTCAATATATAAAAAAACATCCTGTACAAATTAGTGAATTATTGCGGAACTTATCGGTGAACCTCTGCCAGACGAGCGCAGCGAGTTCCGCAGCCATCTACTTAACAATATACTGTTGAACTGTTCAAAAAAAACACTCACCTGAAACGTGTAGTGTTTGAACTGATGAGAAAAATTCATAACTGAGTGAATCAGGTTAGTATTGTACTTGAAGAATATATTGGTGAATAGATGGCTGAGTGAACCCATAAGTTCCACAAAAATCCACTCGTTTGTACTTGAATAACTTGTCACAATATATTACTAGTTTGGTAAAGTAACATTACTAATTCCTGTTGAAAGGTGAATTGACAAAAAGTGGATAATCTTACAAATTCTGACTTTATATAATAAGTTATTTTTCAAGTACAAATAAGTGGATTGTTGCGGAACTTATGGGTGGACCTCTGCGGGACGAGCGCAGCGAGTTCCGCAGCCATCTACTCACCAATAAACTGTTGAACTGTTCAAAAAAAACACTCACCTCAAACGTGTAGTTTTTGAACTAATGAGAATAACTCACATTTGAGTGAGTCAGGTTAGTATCGTAATTAAACAAACAACATATTGATGAATAGATGGCTGCGGAACTCGCTGCGCTCATCCCGCAGAGGTCCACCCATAAGCAGTGTTGCCAGATGAAATAATTTTTTTTTTGTGAGAATCGAGAATGAAAAATCGTGAGACCTAAAATTGCTTGTCAAAAAATAATGCACAATGTTCTTTTTTAGATTTTTGATAAAGTAGACATGATTTTACATCCATAAGAGATAGAAATTTTAATATTAAATCTTGTATCCTTGTTTTTTTCCGTTTTTTCGCAGGTGTTTCTGAGAGTTAAACCTCGTTTTCTTTATCGGCAGGATTGCTTATCCTAAAAAGGCGTATGTTCGCCAATTCTCGAGTCGGCAGCTGGTCTGCGAGTGACGTCACTACTATCAGCAACTGATAGTGGTAATATCACCCGCAGACCTCGATGGATTGCTTGCGATTCAGGCTATGCTTGTGAGTTATTTTTTTTTGGAAATATTAAATTAAGAAAAGGCGATTTCCACGTTTGTGAATTCGTTATTTGGACTCGGATAATGCATTTTCTGCCAAGTGTTGAGGTCTGCAGCTGACGTCACAAATAATGGGGTCTCGTGGACTTCGCAGACACTTACAGCTCAATAAGCAGTCCTATTAGAAAAACAAACAGCAGGTTAACTCTTACGCGCATATCTTCTGCGCAAGCCGCCATTCGAGGATACAGCCTATCTTTAAGGGCGGGTATTATAAAACTGCTTTGATAGTTAACTTGAAGTTAACTTTTTGAATTACATGTAATTGCAGAAGTTAACTGTAAGTTAACTCTCAAAGTAGTTTTATAATACCCGCCCTAAATGGCAGAACAATGAGAAATGAGATTTAATGCCCATCTGATCTGCGCACGTCGCCATCTTGGGATACAAAACTCGAGTTAGCCTGCTGATATTTGTTTTTGTATATGCCGTGCTATTAGGTTAAGTGTTCTTGGGCGCGCATGTACCAGGAGCGGCGTAACATAACTAAATATTGTATGGTAGATTTTTATTTCGATTATTTTTGATTACATTATATTTGATTACTGATTTGTATTACTGCAGAGAGAATTCGTGAGAATTGCTACCTCATTCGTGAAATTCTGATCAAAATCGTGTAATCTTACAAATAATCGTAAGATCTGGCAACACTGCCCATAAGTTCCGCAACAATTCACTCATTTGTACCTACTTGAATAACTTGTCACATTATATTACTAGTTTGGTGAAGTAACATTACTAATTCCTGTTGAAAGGCGAATTGACAAAAAGTGAATAATTTTACAAATTTTGACTTTATATAATAAGTTATTATTCAAGTACAAATAAGTGGATTATTGCGGAACTTATGGGTGGACCTCTGCGGGACGAGCGCAGCGAGTTCCGCAGCCATCTACTCACCAATCTACTGTTTAACTGTTCAAGTAAGATATTTACCTGAAACATATAGTTTTCAAACTAATGAGAATAACTCACATTTGATTGAGTCAGGTTAATATCGTAATTGAACAACATATTGATGAATAGATGGCTGCGGAACTCGCTGCGCTCGTCCCGCAGAGGTCCACCCATAAGTTCCGCAACAATTCACTAATTTGTACTTAAATAACTTGTCACATTATAATACTGGTTTGGTAAAGTAACATTACTAATTCCTGTTGAAAGGCGAACTGACAAAAAGTGAATATAATTATAATCTTACAAATTTTGACTTTATATAATAAGTTATTGTTCAAGTACAAATACGTGGATTGTTGCGGAACTTCAGCGAGTTCCGCAGCCATCTACTCACCAATATACTATTGAACTGTTCAAGTAAGACATTTACCTGAAACATATAGTTTTTAAACTAATGAGAATAACTCACATTTGAGTGAGTCAGGTTAATATCGTAATTGAACAACATATTGATGAATAAATGGCTGCGGAACTCGCTGCGCTCGTCCCGCAGAGGTCCACCCATAAGTTCCGCAACAATTCACTAATTTGTACTTAAATAACTTGTCCCATTATATTACTAGTTTGGTAAAATAACATTACTAATTCCTGTTGAAAGGCGAATCGACAAAAACTGAATAATTATATTCTTACAAATTTTGACTTTATATAATAAGTTATTGTTCAAGTACAAATAAGTGGATTATTGCGGAACTTATGGGTGGACCTCTGCGGGACGAGCGCAGCGAGTTCCGCAGCCATCTACTTACCAATATACTTTTTTCTGCAAATCGAATAAATTTAACGTCCTTCAACTTATCAACCTCTATTGAATGAATACAACGATTTCCTTGTTGAACTGTTCAAGTAATACATTTACCTGAAACATGTAGTTTTTAAACTAATGAAAATAACTCACATTTGAGTGAGTCAGGTTAATATCGTAATTAAACAACATATTGATGAATAGATGGCTGCGGCGGTCCACCCATAAGTTCCGCAACATTTCACTCATTTGGACTTGAATAACTTGTCACATTATGTTACTAGTTTGGTAAAGTAACATTACTAATTCCTGTTGAAAGGTGAATTGACAAAAGGTGAATAATCTTACAAATTCTGACTTTATATAATAAGTTATTGTTTAAGTACAGAGTGTTTTTTTATATATTGACACCCCACCTACAGCCTTCACCTTTACAAGTAGATGAAAGGTGTAAATACAAAAGTTGTACAGTTTTGGCTGAATTTTTAGAAACCATGGTCAGAAACCAAAATTGAATGTCAGAAATGTGAAATGTTGCTGTTTTCAGCTTTTTTCAAATGGGAGTACCTATGCAGTAGTCTAGTCTTAGAAAAACAGTAGGAGTCCTAGTCCAAAGGTCGCGTATGAAATTATTGCTGTGACATTCTCATACAAGATTTTAATTTAAAAAATATCATAAAAAGCAGGTTAACAATGACAACGGCTTTTATCAGTAGAATTTACATTGATATCAGTAGACCAGTGGCAAAATCAGTAGATCTACTGATAAATCAGTAGACCTGGCAACACTGGTCTGCTACCAGAATCAGACATGGAAGCACCTCTGGAGATGCTAGCCACGCTTGCTAGCGAAGCGTCACTTTATCAATAAACTTTATCAATAAACCTGGGCCGCGAAAGCCTCACAAACTAATTTGTTAATTACTTCATTTCATTTATTTTCAAATTCTAGCTTAACAAGACCGCAGAATCTTTCGCTGAAATGGTAGACATCCTCATCAGCCTACCAGCTCAAGCACCAAGCATGCACATGGTAGTACCACTCCGTTCCGATTGGGATACTGCAGCACTTTTCATTCATATGGGCAGAGATCACGGAATTCCTGGATACACTAGCTGGCTTCAATATTGCAGCAACGTGACATCACCTCAATCTCCCACTTTCAACGACATGCAAGCAAATATCAAGCCGGAATATGTTAAGGCTTTGAAATACCTTTACGTTAATCCAGAAGATGTTGATTTGCTTACAGGCGCTTTAATGGAAACGCCTAATCCTGGATGTGTTGTTGGGCCAACATTAAACTGTCTCTTAAAAGAACAATTTACGTTGTTGAAAGAATCCGATAGGTTTTGGTATGAGAATGATTTGCCTCCAAGCTCATTTACTCCGGAACAAATTAAAGAAATTAAGAAAGTCACGGTGGCAGGTTTGCTTTGCGCTAATACAGATGACTTGGACATGATTCAGCCAAAGGCCTTTGTACAAGAAGATACTTTTTTGAATGCAAGAATCAACTGTGACCAGCATCCGTTGCCCAATTTGGCTGAATGGGCTGAAATGGATCATATGAGTGATGTCAGTGATGAATTGCTTATGCACGCTTTGGCTAAAGCTGAACAAGAAGTTTTGGCTAGAAGGAAGATGGAATATAAGGTTTTTACTGAGAGTAAGTAAACAAACAAATTAACTTTTAAAAAACTAATTGTAATTTTTTTCAGTTGGAGGTGTAGACCCAAAATCTCCAGCAGGCCTAGCTGCCTCCTTCAGCAAGGCCGATCCAGACGCTCTAAAATTAGCCAACACCTCTCTATTATTTGAGTTTGCCTCCAATGAGATAGTCAATTCTTTATTGCACACTAGACGTCGCCGGCAAGTTTTCGACAATCAACCATTCGCCTCAGTTTTTAGAGACGACATCAGTGATGGTCTTCAGAACGTCGACATTTCCTCGATTCTTCCGCCGCAAATTGCAAGTCCCGACCTGGAATGCGAAGAAAATGGTCCTTGCGATCCCGCTTACCCTTACAGATCTTATTCCGGATATTGTAACAATTTAAAAAGTCCTAAATACGGTCAAGGATTGACAACTTTTAACAGATTACTGCCTAGTGCTTACGATGATGGTATTTCAAAACCAAGGCAAATTGGTGTCACTGGAGTACCCTTACCAAATCCTAGAATAGTATCTAGAAATATTCATCCGGATATTAGTAACTTGCACAAGAGATACACTTTGATGGTGATGCAGTACGCTCAATTCGTAGACCACGATTTGACTATGACTCCTATTCATAAAGGTTTCGACGAGTCCATTCCCAGTTGTCGCCCTTGCGACAGTCCTAGGACAGTGCATCCAGAATGTGACCCTATTCCTATACCAGCAGGAGATAGCCACTACCCTGAATTTAACATAACTACTGGAAAACCAATCTGCCTTCCGTTTATGAGGTCTTTACCAGGACAACAGCACCTGGGACCTAGGGAGCAAGTGAATCAAAATACTGCTTACTTGGATGGCTCCATGATTTATGGTTCAACCCATTGCACTCTACATAAACTAAAAGGAGCAAATGGAAAAATGAATGTTACAGTACATCCTACGCAAGGCAAAGATTTGTTGCCAAGAGATTCTCATCCAGAATGCAGGTCAAAGTCTGGATTGTGTTTTATTGCTGGTGAGTAGACGATAAAATAATTTAGTAGAAAAGTTTTTTCCGGTTGTTGAGTGATATTTCTACCTAACGTTTCGTTTACTGTTAGGGTAAAGATCTTCAGAGGCGGTGTGATGGAGGACGAAGTGTTCTCTTCCGTGTTCCTCCGATGACTGGATTCGACGTTGTTGGACCTGCGTTATTTATATCCAGGGTTGTGAGCGTTGCTTGTATTGAGCTATTTTTTTTGTCTCGTTTTCGGAAAGAAAAGGTCTTTGTTTTTCGGATTCGGAGAACTGGCAACCAGCTTTTGTTAAGGTTCATGCCCTCTTTTTTTCTAAAGTTGTTGTGGTGTTTCTGTATCTCTATGGCTTCTCTGTAGATTCTGGTGTAAAAATGTTTGCAGTTCCAATGCTCGAGTCTGGTCGAAATGGATGACACGGTTTGTTTGTGTTAACACGTGTTCAGTGATTGCTGATCTATTTATTTGTCCCTGCTGACAGTTTCCTTTGTGCTTTTTGACCCTAGTGTTGCAGTGGCGGCTCGTCAGAGGATGCGGAGGAGGCTAAGCCTCCCCCAAAAAATTGAAAATTCAATCTCAGTTTTTTATTCCTAATCCATAATTAAAATAATAATTCACAAATTACACTTTCGATATTTCAATGTAATTTAGAAAAATCTGACATTATTTCAATCAATTCCGCACCTCCCCGACAAAAATCTGTGAATCTGGGATACTCAGTAATACGAGCCCGAAGGGCCAGAGTTATACGCGAGCTTAAAGGGCCGGAGTAATACGAGCCCAAAGGACCGGAGTTATACGCGAGCCCGAAGGGCTGGAGTTATACGCGAGCCCGAAGGGCCGGAGTTCTACGCGAGCCCGAAGGGCTAGAGTTATTTTAATCATGGAGCCCAGTAGTCTATAATTCTATTGGTCAGCGGATAATTTTACCAGTTTCTTGGTTGTTTTTGCTAGTGTGGCTTCCATCACATCATACGTCATTCGGTCAATTTTGTCCCAGTCACTCCAATGCATGCTGTTGGAAAACCTTTGGTTTATCGATAGAAGATCCTTGTCCATAGCTGTTAGGTCTTTCCTTTTTTGGTGAATGTGAACCATGTCACCCGTTTCGGCCAGACTTAAGAATTGGATAGAACCAAACATTTTTAAACCAGACTCCAGAGAAACATAGAGATAGAAAAACATTACAACAACTTCAACAGAAAAGAAAAGGGCATGAACCTTAACAAAAGCTGTTTGCCAGTTTTCCGAAAAACAAAGACCCTTCCATTCCGAGAACGAGACGAGGAAAATAGCATAATACAAGCCACGCCCACAACCCTGGATATAATAACGCATCAGGTCCAACAACGTTGAATCCAGTCATCGGAGGAACACGGAAGAGAACACTTCGTCCTCTACCACCTCCACCACAGCAGTAGACGAAACGTTACTTAGAAATATCACTCAGCCCGGAAAAAACTTTTTACTAAAGCCTTCATTCTTTAGCTAACTAATTTTTTGCATTATCAGGTGACGGTAGAGCATCAGAACAACCAGGCCTAACAATGATCCATACAACATACTTGCGTGAGCATAATAGAGTAATGGAAGCTCTCCAAAGGGTTAATCCTCACTGGGACGACAATAAAATCTTCGAACAGGCCAGAAGAATCGTCGTGGCCGGCTTCCAGCATACCACTTACAATGAATTCTTGCCACGGCTCTTAGGTTGGAACGCCATCAATTTGTATGGCCTAAAGTTGCTGCCTCAAGGATACTACAAAGAATACAATCCCAGTTGTAATCCATCGATTTTCACCGAATTTGCAGCTGCGGCTTTCAGAATTGGGCATTCGCTTTTGAGACCGCACATCCCTAGATTGGATAGTAATTATGAAATTGTCGATCCTCCGCTTTTGTTGAGAGATTTCTTTTTCAATATGGATTATATGATGAATGTAATGCTTTTCTTTCTCTTTATTAATGCTTCAATCTAATGTGTTTTTTTTTTAGGAAGGACTTATGGACCAAATGGCTAGAGGCTTAGTATCCACACCAATGGAAACTTTGGATCAATTCATAACAGGAGAAGTAACCAATCACTTATTCGAAGACAAGAAAATACCATTTTCTGGAGTTGATTTGATTGCACTTAACGTTAAAAGAGCAAGGGATCATGGAATTCCTTCTTACAACAATTACAGAGCCTTGTGCAATCTTAAAAGAGCAACCACTTTTGAGGATTTGGCCAGAGAAATTCCAATGGAAGTTATCCAAAGATTAAAAACAATTTACCCTACTGTAGACGATATTGATCTTTTCCCTGGAGGCATGGCAGAAAGGCCTCTACAAGGTGGAATTATTGGACCTACTTTTGGTTGCATTATCGCCATACAATTCAGACAGTTGAGGAAATGTGACAGATTTTGGTATGAAAACGAAGACCCCATTGTGCGATTTACTGAAGCTCAATTAGCCGAAATCCGTAAAAGCACTTTGGCAAAAACCCTCTGCGATAACATGGACGTGTTCAGCGACATCCAACGATCCGCTTTCGATTTACCATCAAATTTCTTGAATCCTAGAGTGCCTTGCAACTCTATGCCATCTATAGACTTTAACGCTTGGAGAGAAACCTCTTCTGGTCAAGGATGTATTATTGGAGGTAGGCACGTGCAAATTGGGGAAAGTGCTTTCCCGAGTCCTTGCACCAGCTGTGTTTGTACTGCCGATGGAGGCAACTGCGCTTCACTTAAAGTAACCGATTGCAGTCAGTTGCTGCGTGAATGGTCAAAGGACGCGATTTCTAGAGACGAGGTTTGCGCAGCTCAATGTGGTTTCCTGTTGAGAGATGGTAATAGGCATCAGGTGCCTTTTGGGTTAGTTCCACCACCTCCGACGCGTAACAATTTGAGAGGAAGAAGTCCGAATAGGTTTCCTAGATTCCCTGATGGTACCAGCTCAGGGGTGGATTTGAGTGGGTTTAAGTTCCCTAATCTTAGTCCGTTTATTTCTAAGTGAGTGGGTTTGAGAAGAATTATGCCAGTAAATGAATCACTGAAAATTAAGACTTTGTACAAATTACTAAAAAAGGGAAGTTTTGTCAAAAAAAATCTAGTCCCTGTTTTTTTTTTTTATTGACTATAATTTTAATTGTTGACTAGTGTTAAGTGAAAAAAATATGATATTATTTTTGTGTCATATATTTGCCTCAATTGATTTTGAGTATGAAACAGGAAGATCTCGTATTTATTAGTAAAACTGTTGCATATTCAAAATGTGTAAAGTGAGGTTTTTGTAAATATATTGGTTAGGTTTAAGTGTTTTTACACTGCCAAAACTATCATTTTGGTACTTATTTCTTAATCTAGAAATAATATTTTTGAGAGAAGTGTATAAGGTAGATATACTTTCTATGATATTTCTAGTGTATATTTGAATTATTTTTTTTATAGGGCCCCTATTGTATATTTTTTTTTAATATTTACAACCTGAAATATATTTATTTTTGATTAATTTTGTCTTAATTTTATTTTACCCAAATTATTTAATCTAATTTCAGAAATAGAGTATTTTTCAAATATTTTTAACATGATTATCCAAAAAAAGCTGACCTAAGAAGTAACGAAACGTCAGCAAATTGAAAAAAACAAATCGCTAGCTAGTCTTGTACCATTCTAAACCCACTAAGAATCTCGACATTATCATCACATGTGATCATATTTATGTTGTTTTGGTAAATGTCTAGGCCATCGGAGGTGTCGTATAGATTTTTATGTCATTGAGAATCCGGGTTAGTGGGAATTATATTATACAGAGTGTCAATTTGAGAACTTTCAATGCGAAAATCTCTGAATCTAAAAATTTTGAATGGCACCACCACTTTTGTGATACCTATAAAACTAAATATTTTTTGAATATAGTATTCTTCTGCACAAGAATTTTTTCAAAAAATATTTAATTTTAGGTAGGTATCACAAAATGACACCAGCACCTATAAGGGAGTTGGGGTGCATGGATCCTAAGGGGTCATTATGATCAAAATATGATGGTTCTAGTTTCCTTTACCTGTATAACATTTGTACCAAATTACGTTTTTCCAACTTTTTTACTTTCAGAGATATTCGCAATGGGAGTTTTCAAGTTGACACCCGGTATATGTCCCATATTTGAAAATGTGTATAGATATGATACAGGTTGTTCGAAAGTACCATATTTGATTTCATTGACTAAAGGAATAAGTTCTAAAAGGATTAGATTTCCAAAAAGTCATCATTCATTCAGAAATTTCAAGGGAATTTATTACATATATGTATATCTAGCTACTGTTTACGGATTATAGAAAACGAATCTGCATCCTGTTACTTTGAAAAAATTGCATACATTGAAATTTCACTAATCAAATCTAGCAATTTGCCTGGCCACTATAGGCGGACAATCTATCCGTATATAGCTTTTATTTATGGTATTATTGATACACATTTCTGAAAATTGAAAAGAACAGGCTTTCTCTTGCTCATAATAATAGTTATGTACTGGTTGACAAAAATGTCGATAAATGATTTCAATCAAACTGTATCTTGCCAGTTTTGCTGCGACTATGCGTAAACTCTATTAGAAGACTTTTCTCAAGAAATTTGTAGGTATGTACTAAACCATTCTATGAAAAATGGCACTCAGGGATTGTATCCTCTACTGAGATACGAATCGCTGAAAATTTCAACTTTCTATCTTTAATAAACAAAAACTTATTAGCTTTCACAGTTGTCCAAAATCTATATCATATACCTTCTTACTAAAACGATGAAATTTCAATTTTTTTTTTTAATGAGATTTCGTATCCTAATGGTCCTGTGGGACCCCCTCAAATCCATACACTAAATTATTCCTAGATTTGAAGCCGAAATCTATGAAAAAAGGTACTCAGAAAAATTGAAAAATCACCCCAAGTTGATTAGCACGATTTTATTTCTGAAACTATAAGTCCAAATGAGCTGAAAAGGAGCACCTAATTATTATATAGTTCCCAAAGTTTTTTTCCACCTTGGGACTGCTAGGTTTATAGACCTACTATTTACCCTGTCGTAATGGCGGCTTGCCGGAGTTAGGAAAAATCAATGGAAAAATGCTGTGTGGTTTTTACCTGTTACCTATGCATAGGTGTGACAGGTAAAAACTATACAGTTTAGATTATCGAATGTAATACCACAAGAGGTTTCAGGATTACCGGATAATACTTTTACCAGTCACGAAACGCGTTACGCAGCAACACCACGACTCCGAAAGAGGAGTGGTGTTGCTGGTAACGCATTGAGTGTCAGGTAAAAGTATTAGGTAATCCTGAAACATCGAGTGGTATTCAAAAGGTTATACAATGAACTAAACTATAATACTTTAAAATTAAAAAAAAATTATATAATAGAATTTGCCATAAATGCCACCAAGCGCGATAATCCCAAAAGGCGTATCACTTTTTAAGCCCCTCGTGTCATATGGGAATAATGTACAGTGAGTTGTATAATCGACAAAAAGCATCCCTGCGTTTTTATTCTCACCAAATTTCACCGATGGATCCACCATTCTATGGCTGACATTGTCATTTTCCATTCACTAAACAAAGACAGCTAACTCATTGGTAAAGTCACCAACTTTGACATGCCGCCATTTCGGCAGGGTAAATAGTAGCAGATTTAAACTTCGGGGATATAACCTTAATGAAAATAACTACCATACCCCCTGTACCTGTTACCCCCACTTAGGGGAAAAACAGGTAGGGGGTGAAAATACCAAAAAAATCTGTCCCCCAAAAACCAAAAATTGACGTGTCTGAGCGATTTTTGATTAAATACCTAACACCTGAGAAACTCTGAGTGGGATGTTTTTCGTGCCCCACCTTGTATAAAGGTGTACCACACATTTTTTTTCGAGTGCTCTATGAACATAGTCTTCTAACTCATCGCAGGGGAATAATATTACTCGAAATGCGGATGTTGTTTCTTCAGTCCAAGCTCTCCACATCGATCGTTTTATTTTTGATAACAGAAATGATACGGTAAGTAGAAGCATGGAAATTGCTTATACCACCCAGTAGCATGAAAAATACTACAAAAAAAAACATGGATGTGGATTAAGGTAACAAGATCTACCCACAAAAGGTAAAATTCTGTCATGGTTTAAAGGCTTTTTATTTTCAACGATATATTTTACAGGTTCCTCATTTACTAATTAATTGGGAGAAATATCTGCGGAACAATTCCAATAAACAAGATATTTTTAAATTTTTGGCGGATAGTATTATAGAGAATTTTAACTCCTATCACGTGGAACTAATGTAGGTGAGAGCTGTGAGTCCTCAACTGGCAGTTCTATCAACTTTAGAGGGTGTATCCTGTGCTCAAATGGAGGAGGCGGATGAGCGAATAATTTTGTACGTTGAAGATACTTATGTTTCTAAACGGATCAAAATCAGTGCTTATTTCTTGTACCGACACTGACATTTTGGTTTTGATCATATTTTTTTATCCTCAATTGGAACGTCTAGGCCTGGAAAATTTCTGGTTGCTGTATAGATGTCCAAAAACTCTACAATACATTCTCGTTCACATTGTGGAAGCTCTTGGTGATAGAAAAGCAGAAGCTGTAAGCGGTTCCATGCTTTTACTGAATGTATAGTTTATACGAAGTCAATCCGAATAGCATAAAAACTGTGTAGGCGGCATTTTCTGATTTTCTTATGAAATTGAGCATACGCGTACAACAGTCTAGGGATTCCCAAGAACGAAGAATTCTAATTCCCATTCCTAGGCTGTTGTACGCATACATATTTTTAATTTGATAAGAAGATGCCGCGCACACAGTATTTACATATTCTCGTCACCAGGGAACAGCGTTCTCTCAAGAGAACGATTGCTCTATCTTAGTCACCCATATTGTTGTTTCCATAATACTGACAAAGACAGGGCAATCGTTCTCTTGAGAGTACGCTGTTCTCGGTTACGAGAATACGGGCCCAGACAGATCACATTTGGGGTAGAGCAGATGAGATATACCAAAACTGTCGCCCTAAATCAAGTACATGGGGATATAGAGATGATGAAGGCAAGTGGGAACCATTGTAGTCGGAAGAGCCACATGTTTGGGAGGCATGGAGATCATTTGATAGTGATTCGATACATGTGGATGCAACACGCCATGTGACACAATGCTTTGCTCCTGCAGAAGAAGTGAATTGCCCTGCACGCTTGCCTCCATAAGCAGTATTAAAGGGCAATGCAGTTATAAGGGATAAACTATACACTCAAAACGACCTATCTTCTGTTGATTTTTTCTTCCTTTTTTGAAGCTTGAGATATCAATGAATCTATCCGCTTCGGATAGCAAGGCAGCTTATTCAGATGTTTTTTTTCTGTATGACGCTAGGTGTGACGCAATTGTTGCATTCATTACTGCTGTTGCTGTAGAGAGAGTTGCATCGGTGACCTGTACAGATTCGGAATATATTTTTTTTGGATTTCTCATACCAAATCTATCTTTCTATCTATCTATATATATAAAAATCAATGTTTGTTTGTTTGTTTGTGCCCTATGCGCTCCTACACCACTTATCAGATTACGATGAAACTCTGGTAGGTTGTTATGGCCATCTCAAGGAAGATTTGTGAATATTAGGTTACGCATCTCGGGAAAAGAAATTAATTTTGAATTATTTATTAATTTAATTATAAACAAACTCATTCACATTACATGCCAACATAACCCAACTTTATTCAACGTTGCCACATTTCATTTATTTAGGGCTTGCGCATTCAACCGAAGTAACTTTATTATTTTTTGAACGCTGTGACTAGAGTCCCGACTCGGGATCCATCTCCAGTCCCGAATAACATCAATATAAATGACGTTATCAATAGTTTTGTCGGGACTAGATATAGGTCCCGAATCGGGACTCGCATATGGTCCCTAAATTATAAGAAGAATCACAATAATTCCTTCATTAGGTGAAACCATATTATTCAATTCAAATGAATAAGATTATTATATTTTCAAGTTTTATTTCAAAAACCCTTGTTTACAAAAAATAGAGTGGTTTACTTTACATATTGATGGATGAAGTTTTTCACATCCATCAGTAAATGCTAATTTTTTTGCCAATTTCGAACCTTTAAATTCGAAAGAAATAGTAAGAGATCAAGCCTCAGGTCAGAAATTAAGCTTATGCTCAACGAATACATTTCTGGTTTTCTACCTAAACTTATTTTCATCACTATTTAGGTTCGGTTTCTCAATAGCGAGTCACCTCCGGGTTGGTTTTAAAACTGGCCCTTAACGTTCATAAACAAATACACACCTTTTACATAAAAGCGCGTACCACCTATAATTATATACAGGGTGTCCCACAACGATTCTGTCAAGTGATGGCGGCAACTTTAGAATCTTAAATGTGACCTATGGTATACTATGGAATTTTTCGTTCGTTTTGTTGAATAAAATTATAAAAAAATTACACAGTGGAACTAATAACGCATTCCGAAGTTATCACCTGGGTAAAATCTCGTGGGATACCCTGTATATGTATAGGTATCAACAACATTACATATGATTTTTGGCTATACTATAGCCTCAAAACAGATGTTTTTAAGTCGGGACCGTAAGCGGGTCTCGAGATTCCCGAGTCGGGGCAGAACACACCAGTCCCGACAAAACTACTACTCACGTCATTCGGGACTGGATATGGATCCCGGGTCGGGACTCTAGTCACAACGTTTTTTGAATTCGAGAACGGCTGGACCGATCTTGAATTTAATACCATGTACCTCTATATAAGTCGAATTCGATTGATCTAGATTAGATCGATTTGGGTTCAATTTAAGTGAACTTCTTCTGATCTAGATCATTTTTTTTGTTGATGAGGGTGCACTGATCCAACTTCAATCGAATCGAACACAGTGTGGTTCAAAATTTAAAGGAGAAGATGTACTATTACCACGTATCCCAATGATACCAACAAATAGTCCATTCGAATTCAAACGGTTGCAATATCCGGTGCGCCTTGCCTTTGCGATGAGCATCAATAAAGCACATAAGGACCATCACTAGAAGTGTGTGGAATAAATTTGGGAAATTCATGTTTCTCCCATGGACAACTATATGTTGCCTACTCACGAGTCGGTAAACCCTCTGACATTCGTGTACGCACCAACCGGATCAACAAAAAATATTGTATATCCAAAAACAACTTAATTAAATATATATTTTTTTTTGCTGCGGGTCAAATCACTTAAAATATGTAGTCTAAATAACAACTCTGAAAAATTTCATGCTTTTAACCTAATTTGCTACATTTTACCCCATTTTGATGGTCTACCGCATAGACTATAATGACCTTTCAAAGTTTTCCAAAATCTAAATCATAAGGCTTAATAAAACGGTAAAACGAATAAATTTCAATTTTTTTGTTGTTGAGATTTTTTGTCCTAGTGATCCTTTGGGATACCCCAAACTCCATACACTAAATTATTTTGAGATTTGGAGCCAGATTCTATGAAAAAAGGCACTCAGAAAAATTGAAAAATCACAAATTCATTAACACGATATTATATCTGAAACTATAAGTCCAAATTAGCTGAAATTTTCAGGAATTGTTGTCCTCTACTGGGGTAAGAATCGCTGAAAATTTCAGCTTTCGATCTTTAATATGAAAAAAGTTATAAACTTTGAAAGTTTTCCAAAATCTAAATGATAAGGTAGATAACTTCACACTGAAACGATGAAATTTAAAAAAAAAAATTCTGCTGAGATTTTGTGTCCTAATGGTCCTTTGAGACCCCCTCAGCTCCATACACTAAATTATTCTCAGATTTGAAGCCAAAATCACCCCAAATTGTTTAACACGATTTTATTCCTGAAATTATCAGTCCAAATGAGCTGAAATTTTCAGGAATTGTTGTCCTCTACTGGGGTAAGAATCGCTGAAAATTTCAGCTTTCGATCTTTAATATGAAAAAAGTTATGAACTTTCAAAGTTTTCCAAAATCTAAATGATAAGGTAGATAACTTCACACTGAAACGATGAAATTTCTAAAAAAAAGTCTGCTGAGATTTTGTGTCCTAATGGTCCTTTGAGACCCCCTCAGCTCCATACACTAAATTATTCTCAGATTTGAAGCCAAAATCACCCCGAATTGATTAACACGATTTTATTCCTGAAAATATCAGTCCAAATGAGCTGAAATTTTCAGGAATTGTAATCCTTTACTGGGATAAGAATCGCTTTATATCATAAGGTAGCTAACTTCTTACTAAAACGCTATAACGATGAAATTTCAGTTTTCTTTTTCTGCGAAGATTTTGTGTTTTAATGGTCCTTTGATACCCCCTTAACTCCATACACTAAATTATTCTGAGATTTGGAGACGGATTTTCTAAACTAGTGAATAAATTCAAATTAAGCTAAAATATTAATCAATGGGTTTGAAGAAAATTCATTTGACTTCAATTTGAGTTTAATAATAACGCTAAAATCGAATAAAAATTAACGGAGCTGTGGGCAAAAACTGTCTCAATTTCATTTTTGGCAAATTTTCAATGTTCGATAATTTCAATTTTGAAGCTTCTCAGCTGCAAAACTGTTGAAATCTTAATTGATAAGTATGTAGGGAATTTAATTGGCTTTAATTAGAGCTTAATTACATTGAAATCGGATGAAAATTAACGGGGTTGTGATGCAAAAACTGTCTCAGTGTCCTTTTTGGATAATTTTCAATGTTACACATTCAAAATTACACAATTCTAATAAAGCAAAATATTTATATAGGTACCATAAATTATTAAAATAAGTTTATTTTAAGATGTGCAAGGTTCAGTGTTACAAGGTTGACTACTGCCTAAAGAATTTTTTGGTCTAAAATTCCTTAAGATATTTAGCAAAAAAACAATAATAATTCCAGAGTCATATGACGCGATTATTACCCAAAAGATTTCATATTTCTTCATACCATCGAGGCACGAGACGGTGTCGAAACTGTTCTTCTTTTAGCTTCATTATCAGATTTGCAATAATTTTGTCTGTGCGTAGGTCCATTGTTTTAGTAAATTAAAAGAAATTGGGCTTTTTTTGTGTTTGAAGATTACTTGTGAACCCATTGTTTTGTTTGTCAATCAATTATTGTAACAAAGACATTTTCTAAAGCCTAAGCATCATCTTTTGTACCTGTTACTTCCGCGTATGTATAGTTACATCACTCTGATTTAGATTGCTAGTTCAATTTTTTCTTTGCAACTTCAGAATCTTACCCCTGAAAATATTCACTTATTTGCAAAATTACCTAAAACATTTAAACGTTACCTTTTAAAACCGCGTTCAAAAACGCGGATACACCTGAGATTTTCCAAAGAAAAAACAAACAAACATCCAACCATCTTTGTCCATCATCAACGCAAACAAATACGTCCTTCTTTGTTCCGACCATCCCATTCCTATCCGATCATGAAATACTTTCTCTATTAATAAATCCCTGTTTTAGAGAATGGCACCTCAGTAGTACCACACGGTGGTTCTGCAAAATATCGTGCGGTTCCCCGGCGCTTATAGTTCTTCGCGAAAGATCATTCTCGTGAGATTGGCGGGCGCGAATTTTTCCGGGTTTTTTTTTAAAAAGTTTTTGTTGGTGCTTGGGAACCCTCTGCCGCCGTTTATGAGAATGGGCGTTTTACAATTTTGGTAATATTTAATTTTGATTTTTATATATTTTGTTTTACACAAGCTGAATTTGATGAACATTAAACCCCCATTAATTTACTTAAAGCTGAAGGTTTCAACAGTCAAATTTGTTTTGCATTAGGTACTATATTTTGTATATTCTGTCGTTTTTCTGAACATGATTTTGAGACTAAGGAAATTGAAGTCATTTTTTGAAAATAAAATTCAAGATTCTCGTCCAGAGAAAAACCACAGTATATTGTATTGAATATATTTTGAATCAAAAATGGAAACAATCAGGCGCCAAAGTCAGGCCACTAGGTGAACAAAAAGTCTTGTTTGCACCTTTCACAATAAGACCCTTCTTTACTTTACCTTTCCTCCAGTTATTACCGTAATTTAAACGAGTTTCAGTCCCTTTTACCTTTGCTTGTATATTGGAGGAAAACCTTCATTAAATAATATTCAAAATTTGTGATTTCTTTTTCGAAATTTTGGTTTTTAATCAATTTTTTTTTTGCCCACATTTACTAAATATTTATTTATTCATCGTTTAATTTACATATCGTTTGCTTCCTGTTTAATAGAATTTTAAAATTACCTTTTTATTATGGGTATTTAAATATTTTATCGCTGTGATCATATTTTCTTTTATCGTTTAACAGTGCATAAAGTGGGTTGCATATCCGTCCATCACATTCCATGTAAAAATTGCAAAATTTTAGTGAAACTAAGCCATAAAAAATCTGATTTAGTTGAAGGTTGATGAGTCTTTTTGTAGCTTCTATAAATGAATAAAATATAAGCAAAATTCAGAGGGCTTATAGAATAAAACATTTGTTCACATAATTGTATTCTATTGTTGAGAAATTTTAGATGAATAAATGAAGAAAATTACATTCACTTGCCCATTGATATACATATTCAATGACGATTGGATTTTGCAATTTTATAAAGTTAGTTTTTGGTTCAAAAATTTCAAATTTGGATAATACACAATAATAATTTTACATCTGCATATATGAATTCGCAATAATGTTGCCAAATAAATAAAAAAAAAGAAAACCCCAAACACAATATTTATTGCAAAATATTTTTTTTTCAATTATTGGTAGTACGTTAAATACAGTTTTAAAGGTACTAATAAGTCATGTCAATATTAAAAATGTTCTCACTTTTAAAAGCTTAGGTTCCCCTATGCATACAAAGATTATAATTAGTACCTTTACAGTAAATTTAATAAATCAATGAAAGTGAAATTTATATTTTCCGTAAATAAAAAGATTATGCAAGACATTGTTATGTTATCATTAGCATTTGATGCGTGTTTGTAATGATAATTGAAAGTAACAAACTAATTTATAGATAATTTATTGCTGGAAGACTACGTAATTTGTTCAACAAAAAAGGAAGATAAAAAGCCAATTGAGAAAAGATGAAAAAGTCATTTTGCCATGATTCGTGAATGATGCTAGCAAAATTTCGTGACGCAACATTCAAATAAATACAAAAAAAGTAAAAAAAATTATAGTTTTGGCAGTCTTATGCGTATAACTCGAAAACTATCCATTTTTTGGAAAAAACACCTCTATTCAAAGTGAAAGGAAATAAAATTTTCTATAGATTACATTTGTTAAATTTTTGGCAGGACAAACTATTTTGGCTCAAGTGCTAGTTGAAAATGGTCGTATTCAATCTATCTCCACAAAAACCCATATTTTATCTGCAAAACTCTTACAGCTGTATGCAACATCCTTTTTTAACTTAAAAGCGCTTTTTAAAACTGGTCACTTTTAAAAATGTGTATTCTAATACACACAAATTTTTAAAAGTACCAGTTTTAAAACGCGCTTTTAAGTTAAAAGAGGATATTGCATACAGCTGTTATTTATTACCAAATAACGTTATTTTCATCACTCTAATATTATAGTTTTGAGGTCATCGTGTCGTAGTCCAATCGAATAGTATTTTTGGTAGGAAAGTTTTGAGGTAGTTTTGATTTTTGTTTTTTAGGATGCTGAATCGGAATCTGAGGTTTGCTAACAAAATTTCGTGACGCAACATTGAAAAAAATGGAAAAAAAAAAGTAAAAAAAATTGTAGTTTTGGCAGTCTAACGGCCATTTGCACCGCTATAACTTAAGGGAAATTTAATCCAAGTGGAGCTCTGAATGTGACTCTCGCAGCAACAAAAGTCACATTCAAAAGCTCCACTTAAATTAAATATCCCTTAATTATACGTATAATTCAAAAACTATCCATTTTTTGGAAAAAACACCTCTATTCAAAGTGAAAGGAAATAAAATTTTCTGTAGATTACATTTGTTAAATTTTTGGTAGGACAAACCATTTCGGCCCAAGTGCTAGTTGAAAATGGTCGTATTCAATCTATCTCCACAAAAACCCATATTTTATCTGCAAAACTCTAATTTATTACCAAATTATCACTCTAGTATTATAGTTTTGAGGTCATCGTGTCGTGGTCCAATCAAATAGTACTTTTGGTAGGAAAGTTTTGAGGTAGTTTTGATTTTTGTTTTTTAGGATGCTGAATCCGAATCTGAGGTTTGCTAACAAAATTTCGTGACGCAACATTGAAAAAAATGAAAAAAGAGTAAAAAAAAATGTAGTTTTGGCGGTCCTATGCGTATAACTCGAAAACTATCCATTTTTTGGAAAAAAACACCTCTATTCAAAGTGAAAGGAAATAAAATTTTCTATAGATTACCTTTGTTAAATTTTTGGTAGGATACACAATTTTGGCTCAAATGCTAGTTGAAAATGGTCGTATCCAATCAATCTCCACAAAAACCCATATTTTATCTGCAAAACTCTTATTTATTACCAAATAACATTATTTTCTTCACTCTAGTATTATAATTAGGTAGTTTTGATTTTTGTTTTTTAGGATGCTGAATCCGAATCTGAGGTTTGCTAACAAAATTTCGTGACGCAACATTGAAAAAAATGAAAAAAATTGTAGTTTTGGCGGTCTTATGCGTATAACTCGAAAACTATCCATTTTTTGGAAAAAACACCTCTATTCAAAGTTAAAGGAAATAAAATTTTCTATAGATTACTTTTGTTAAATTTTTGGTAGGACAAATCATTTTTGCTCAAGTGCTAGTTGAAAATGGTCGTATTCAATCTATCTCCACAAAAACCCATATTTTAACTGCAAAACTCTTATTTATTACCAAATAACATTATTTTCATCACTCTAGTAATATAGTTCTGAGGTCATCGTGTCGTAGTCCAATCAAATAGTATTTTTGGTAGGAAAGTTTTGAGGTAGTTTTGATTTTTGTTTTTTAGGATGCTGAATCCGAATCTGAGGTTTGCTAACAAAATTTCGTTTGAAAAAAATGAAAAAAATTGTAGTTTTGGCGGTCCTATGCGTATAACTCGAAAACTATCCATTTTTTGGAAAAAACACCTCTATTCAAAGTGAAAGGAAATAAAATTTTCTATAGATTACATTTGTCAAATTTTTGGTAGGACGAACCATTTTGGCTCAAGTGCTAGTTGAAAATGGTCGTATGAAAAAAATGAAAAACAAGTAGAAAAAATAGTAGTTTTGACGGTCTTAAGCCAGGGACACATCTATCATGCATTCTTCCGATCCGACTCCGATCATACAATCAAGGTCCTTATTCTTGGAACAGGGGAGCAGCGGAACACTCGATCTCCTTGGGAACGCTGTTCCCTGTTCCAAGAATAAGGACCCTGATTGTATGATCGGAGTCGGATCGGAAGAATGCATGATAGATATGTCCCGGGCTTTATGCGTATAACTCGAAAACTATCCATTTTTTGGAAAAAACACCTCTATTCAAAGTGAAAGGAAATAAAATTTTCTATAGATTACCTTTGTTAAATTTTTGGTAGGACAAATCATTTTTGATCAAGTGCTAGTTGAAAATGGTCGTATTCTATCTATCTCCACAAAAACCCACCTCGAATGTAAATAAGTCTATAAATCTGCACTATTTAGGTATGAAGACTTTAAATTCGGATTTCAATAAATAGGAAACCTCGCACTATTGATGAAAATTCTTATGAAAGTTTTTTTTTTTAATTCAAAGTTCAATAAATATGAATAACTGCACTATTCATAATAGTATATTATACCACGAGTCAATAATGCTATTATTCCCGAGGAATATTTATGAAATGAGCCGCGCTAGCGAGGTAGTAACATTCCGAGGGAATAATAGCCATTATTACGAGTAGTATACTCTACTTTATTTACGACAAATTAATTTATTTGAGATTTTCAATGAACAAATTTCATCCATCTCAATTCTCAATACAAATCCACAAACACTATACACGTTTGACATTGACACTTTTGAGGAATAATGACCATTAATTCCACTAATCGTCATTATTCCCTGGGGTAATAACATATGTCATTATACTGCCAAAATCACAAGAATAATACTTACATTATACATTAGTCATAAATAAAATTATTAAAAGTTCAGATTTCAATAAATAAGAAAAACCATCTGAAAGTATTGAAGTTTAGATTTTAATAAATAGGAAAAATAGCATTATTTATGAAAGTCTTAAAGTTCAGATATCTATGAATAGAAAAAACAGCACTATTCATGAAATAAACGAGCAAGATACTTACATACAAAAACAAAACAAAACTTGCAAAGTTTGTGGGAACTTTCCAGAGTCACTTCACCAGTTTAGGACACTTTTCTGGCCCCACGTTGGGCGCCAATATAACAAATCACTGTTCAAAAAAAAAATAATTAAAATTCAAAAATTTCATTAACGCTATTAACGCATTAACAGTGTTATCAATTTAATATAAATGTCAAGCTACAAAATAAATCCCTATAAATATAATATAAAAAAAAAGAACAATAAAAAGTCAAAATATATGTTTTAAAATACACACTATTTAGTCACAACTCTATAAAAAATAAATCACACAATGTAAGACATGGAATATAAAAATACAAAAAAATATAAAAAGACAAAAAAGATAAAAAAAAATGATAAAAA